GGCTAGCCTGAGACAGCATCTCCATGCTCTAAGTCCTCCTCTGATGCCCTGCCGGCACTGCTTCCGGCCATCCTTAAGCCCTGTTCAGGGTCCACTCAATGTGGACTTGCTAGTTCGAATTAGCAAAACGCTAATTCAAACTAGTTTTTAGTTCTAGACGCGTTAGTTCGAATTAGCTTAGTTCGAATTAACTAATTCGAACTAAGTTAGTTCGAACTAGCGCTGTAGTGTAGACATACCCTCAGGGACATGCGTATGAGGTTTAAGGTGAGGCGCAAAGCCAAGCGCAGGCCCAGCAAGCTGTGCATGTTGCTGCCTGCTAGTGACCTCAGGGAGCTGTTTAGCCGCCTGCCCCAGGGAAGCAGCTGAAGCCCAGAGCGCAGTGAGCCCAAGCTCGCTCCCACCCTAGGAAAAACCCTTGTTCCTCTGCCAGGCACCCAGCTTTGCTGGGACACTTTGTGCCCAAACTATTGCTTCTGCTGCTCCGGCCCCTCTCGCTCTGCAGCGCTGCACCCAAGGCACCCCTTGCTCTTATCCCAGCCCGAGGGGCTCACTGAGGGCTCCAAGGGAGCTAGTGCACTGGGACAGGTAGGAGGAACGTACGTCTCCCCAGACAATGGTGGTGGGAACACGGGGCCTGCTTCCCGGTGAGCCTGCTTGTGGGCTCGGAGCTGGGCTCTGTGACACCCAGTCACGTGCATTCCACGGGGATGCCGGAGCCCAGGACCTGCAGTGCTAACTGGCTCCCTCCCCCATTGCAGGACAGGCAGGGTCCGGGGGAGGGTGTGATGCCCCAGAGACTGGCTGGTGGGGGCTTTGCTCTTCCCCGTTCCAATCTACGATCCCATTTCAGTGGCTCTGGGCACATCCCCGCCTTGCGAGGGAACAGGCTGCTCGCCTGGGAGCGCAGTGCAAACACCTGCTGCCTGAATCTCCTTTCCCCTGGAGCTGCGCATTGCACGCTCAGCCACTGATCCCTGGCCCTGCATGGGGCGACTCCAAGTTCTCTAGTTAACTGGCGAACCCAGCGTCCAGGAGATGCTGGTGGGCTTGGAGGGCCCAGTGTGGCAGGCGTCTGTGTATGGAGGGCTTTTTCCCTCTCCCTTTCAAACGCTGATTTCTTTCCCCTCCCTTGGGCAGTCCCAGACCCTGTTTAGCCATTACAAGAGCTCCTGGGTCACCAAGGGGGGCAGGGTTGCATTCACACCATTGGCACCCCCCTGCGTACAGGCCTGCTTGATTAAAGAGGAAACTGGCCTTGTGGCTAATGCATAGGACTGAGATTCAAAACACCCAAATCCTAGTCCAGGTTCTGCCTCAGACTTCCTGTGTGACACTGGGCACCTCATTTAACCCTTCCATGCCTGTAAATACAGCTTCTGGATTTTTAAAGGTGGACCATGGGCAATATTCTCTTCAGCCTTCAAATGTGAGCTAGGAGGCAACAAGGGGGCCTGTGTTGAAAATCATGGCAGATTTAATCTGCTTCCTGTCGTGCAAAATAAGTGTGATCCTTGGACTCTTGGCAAGCTGCTGGATAACCCTCTGCCTGAACAATTGGAGAGTGTTGCCTGACAGCAGATAAATATTCACAGGCTCAGAGTCCCTTGGGTCAGCCCAGTAATTGACTTTGCTCTCTTGAACAGGTGCAAAATATGTATTGCTAATGCCTTTACATTTGATTTTGAGAAATGGAGCAAATGCCTCTTGCCTTCCGTGTAGGTATTAAAGCAGGTTTTCCTATTATGCCTTAGTGACATTTAAAAATGGTTCTCATCTCCCTCCCATTTCACTAGTCTTGGGCTAATCAGCTGCAGTTTTCTTACGTATTTGTACATTCAGATCTCTTCATTGCTCACCGATACTGTTTTCAGAGCATAAATAGAACTTTCTTAGGAACATAAGAACATTAGAATGGCCGTACTGGGTCAGACCAAAGGTCCATCTAGCCCAGTATCCTGTCTACCGACAGTGGCCAACACCAGGTGCCCCAGAGAGGGTGGACCGAAGACAATGATCAAGCGATTTGTCTCCTGCCATCCCTCTCCAGCCTCTGACAGACAGAGGCCAAGGACACCATTTTATCCCCTGGCTAATAGCCTTTTATGGACCTAACCTCCATGAATTTATCCAGCTTCTCTTTAAACTCTATTATAGTCCTAGCCTTCACAGCCTCCTCTGGCAAGGAGTTCCACAGGTTGACAACACGCTGTGTGAAGAAGAACTTCCTTTTATTAGTTTTAAACCTGCTACCCATTAATTTCATTTGGTGTCCTCTAGTTCTTCTATTATGGGAACTAATAAATAACTTTTCTTTATCAGCCCTCTCCACACCACTCATGATTTTATAGACCTCTATCATATACCCCCTCAGTCTCCTCTTTTCTAAACTGAAAAGTCCCAGTCTCTTTAGCCTCTCCTCATATGGGACCCGTTCCAAACCCCTAATCATTTTAGTTGCCCTTTTCTGAACCCTTTCCAAGGCCAAAATATCTTTTTTGAGGTGAATAGCTTTAAAATCAATGAACTCTAAACCCTGCCCAGTTTAAGCCTGTTGTTCCATGAACATATTGTTTGTTTTCATACCCTTGATGAACTTTGCTCTTTTCCTAGAGAGAGTGCAAGCAGAGATTGACACAGTGATTGGCCAGTCTCGACAGCCCGCTCTAGGGGACAGGGATAACATGCCGTACACCAATGCAGTTGTTCACGAAGTGCAAAGGATAAGCAACATCGTGCCTTTAAATGGGATCAGAATGGCAACAAGGGACACAACACTGGCTGGATACCAAGTGCCAAAAGTAAACTGGAAGGAAATGTATCTTTCATTTCCCATCTTGGTTTAAGAACTTAATAGAGATGAGCCCAACCCAATATCCCAGACAGATACACCTTTGCCCTGAGGAGGATCCCGTTCCAAATCTGTACCTATTTTGGGACTCAATCCAGATACAAATCTGCATTTTAATAATGGCCCCTATTTTTAAATATTGGGTATAACCCTAACCAAAAGCTTGATACTCACATTCCTAAGCTTTGAGACAGTTGAAATCCAGATCAGAATTTTGCAGTGTGTCTTCATAAAACATGATGTAAGTGATTTATTTTAACTGCATGAAACCCTAGTAAAGGGACTAGGAATTAGGTCCAGCACAAGTTCACCACTGTGGCTATTGCTCAGGAAAGGTCAGCCAGGCTCTTGGATTAATGCTGTTAACTAACGGAATTTCCATCGACTACTTGACTAGTTGATAGGCAGTTCCTCCTTTGAAATGTACAAGAGCTGCCGGTGGTACATTTCAAATGAGGAATGCCAAACAATACGCGCAGCCCAGGGCCAGCAGGAAGTCCCGCTGACTCCAGGCTCCCCGGCCAAACAATACGCGCAGCCCAGGGCCAGCAGCAAGTCCCGCTGACTGCAGGCTCCACGGGGGCATTACCCTTTGAAATGCACAAGAGCCCCCAAGGGCATGTGAAGTGAGGTGTGTGCTGATTGCACATAACATTGACTGAGAGCCAGGAGCGCCCTCTGTAGCGAATCAAAGAGTTGCTGTGGATCAGTCTGCACACCCCATAAATTCTAGGCATACAAGCGCAGTCAGCAAAACTACCCTGTCCTCGGAGACCATCTTGGTTACCACAACCTTGCAGCCCATTGTGATGGAGAAGCCCCACTCATGCGGCCCACTTTCTAGCCTCGGTTGCCCATTGCTGTTCTGCACACACGTTCATCATTCCAGACCAGCCACCACATCTGAGAGAATGTGGCTCTTAAAAAAGAAAGGTGGGTGGGTGGGGTTTGCTCCTTTTGGACTCTTTATGTTGTATAAAGAATGCCTGGGAGTTTCTCATTTTTCCTGCTTGTTTTTATATCAGAAATTCAATTTTGTCTAACCTGTTTTTCCTAGGAGATGCAGAACTAGTAGATCTATCGCAGGGCTGGGCAAAATATGATCTGAAGGCCGTATCTGGCCTAACAAGCGGCTGAATCCAGCCTGCCAGTGTCTCAGCTGGCTCCCTGCCTTCCTTTGCCCTGCTTGGCATTCAGGAAAGCTAGCTGCAGGGCCGTGTGTGTTTCTGAATGTTGAGAGCCTGGAGAGAGGCTTCTCATGCTGCTCCTGCCCCCGGTATCTCCCATTGGCTGATTCTGGACAGGAAGCATGTGAAGTGCGCCTCCTCCCTCAGGTTTACAACATTCAGTTCAGAGCAGTAAACATGGCCCCTGCAGCTTCCTGGAAGGCAGGGACACTGGCTAAGAAACCTGTTGGGCTGCTGGCTGGGGGCCAGGGAAGGTCTCTCAGCCACAGACTGCCTGTCTCTGGCATATCATTCTCTCCCTCCCCCAACTTTCTGTTCCCCTTCTGCCACCCCCCAATCCCAAGTAACCCAAACCTGCTGCACTCTTTTCCAGCCCCCAGACACCTTCCCAGACACTGCATCCCTTCCTACATCCCTCCTCAGGTCAGAAACCCCTCCCAGACCTTGCACCCCAATCCACTGGCCTTGCACTCCTTCCTGCACTCCTGCCCCCAGTTATAACCCCCTCCCAGGCCCTGCACTCCCTCCTTCACTCCACTCCATTGACCCAGATCATGATCCCCTCCCAGAGCTTACATCCCAGTCCCTTACCATGCGCTTCTTCCTGCATCCAACCTCCATCCCACAGCCTATGATGGCTCCCATTCTGTTCACTCTGATTCCTCCAGCAAAACCAAGGGAAGTCAGATTTGAAATTTGAGATAAATGTAATGTAAAGAACTGGCTGGAAAATTATCTTTAAAAATAATCCTGTTGGCCCTTCTTTATATATATCATAAAAGATTAAAAAGAAAGGCCATGACTCCTCCTTTTTTACCTTTGTAAGTCACAATTAACAATGGAATCAAGGAAAGTGTAAATTCCTCTTGTTCTCTCTCTTTAGGGTACTGCTTTGATTCCCAATTTGACATCGGTGCTATTTGACAAGAATGAGTGGGAAACCCCTCATACTTTCAATCCTAAACATTTCCTAGAGGATGGTCAATTCAAGAAGAGAGAAGCTTTCCTGCCATTCTCTGCAGGTGAGATGTGTCTGACACTGTGCATTAGCATTATAGCACCAAGTCTTGGGCTCTCTTCTTTTTCAGATTAGGGAAAACCCACAGCGTTTATTAGAGACAGAGGCACAATGGAAAGTGGAAAATTCAGAAATGGAACTCATGAGCAGTGTTCGTGTCCCAGTCCAGCTTGCACAGTTATTTCATAGGTAGAGGGCAGGTCATTCATGAACAAGTGCTCTCTCCTAAAACAGACTTAGACACAACAATAGCAACAAAGGAAAAATAGTGTAGACATAACCAAAAGTGGGTAGAAAGAGGAAGTAGCCTACCTCACTTGTTGGGAACATTAGAGTGAAGACAGGAATTGCCCTCCTCACCTTTCACTATTCCTTTTCACTTAGTGGAAGAGGCAGCATGGGGAATAAAACATGAGGACGATGATAAAAGTGTGGGAAATCCCTGGAGCACCCTCCTAAAAAATGACCCATTAGAATATTTTACTATAGGACAAGGTGGATTCTCCATCCCTTCAATTCATGAAAGACCTGACTGCACACTGTTTAAGTCAATAGGAACTTTAGCATTAACTTCTTTGGACACAGGATCAGACCCTTAATCAAAATTGGAGGATTTCAGAATGCTGGGCATGATGTAGCAATCTCTTTGTGACATTCTGTGGCCTGTTGTAGGCAGGAGGTTTGACTAGATCAGGGGTCTCCAAACTTTTCAGCCCGAGGGCCGCATTAACCTAGTTCGAACTAGGGTGGTTAATGTAGGCCAGGGGTCTCCAAACTTTTCAGCCCGAGGGCCGCATTAACTATCAAACAGCAGTTCGGGGGCCGACTACACACTTGAGGTCCAAATAAAAAACAATCAAAACATGGATGTTGTTTTTAATTATTTATTTAATATTATTTTATTCAGTTATTATTTAATAACACATTCATACACTACACATGAACACCTGTATTAGTGTGAATGGTGAAATTGTTTCCTGGATGCCAAAATAGCAGACATTTCTGGCTTTAGATTTGTTGTCCCTAACATCAACAGTGACCTGAGATTATCATCGGACAAGTTTGTTCTCAAATTGTTCTTCACGTATTTCATTCTTGAAAATGTTTGTTCACACAGGTATGTTGTTCCAAAGATTGAAAGGTACCTTGATGCAAAAGTTTTGACATTAGGAAAGTCTTCCTTGGGCAAAAACTGGTAAAAACCCACCAGTCCTATTTTGAACTTGTCCCTAAGGAGGTCATTTGCTTGCAACTCAATGACTTCCAGCTGCAGTTCATCTGGGCAACTGGCCACATCTGCTTCAAATGGGTTTTGAAACAATCTCACTTCTTCTGCCTTTGAATCCAAAAAGGTCTCCACGGGCCGGATGAGAGGGCCTCGCGGGCCGCATCCGGCCCCCGGGCCGTAGTTTGGAGACCCCTGGACTAGATGATCTAATGGTTTCTTCCGGCTTTAAAAATCGGGAGTGGGGTGGGGGGAGAACAGAGGAAAATCTGTTTGCATACTTACCCCCATGCATGTTGTTTTAATACTATTGGAGTAAACCCTAAACCAAAACACTCCTGACTTCAGTAGAAGTTTGATTTAGGATATAAACATTACAACTAGTCCCATTTCTCTCTAAGGGTACCTCTACATAGCAATATTATTTTGAAATAACTAGCGTTATTTCAAAATAACTTAGTCTGCTTCTACACCGCAGGCAGTTATTTCAACATAAGGTCAAAATTCTGTCAAGCTGGAGGACTTCTTACTCAGACTCCTTTAACCCTTACTGTACGAGCAGAACTGGAAGTTGGAGGAAGAATGCTCCTTTTCGAAATAGGTGCTGTGTAGATGCTCCTAATTTTGAAATAAACTATTTTGAAATAAGCGACACAATTGTCATAGCTCAATTTGCATAGCTTATTTCGAATTAAGCTCTGCAGTGTAAATGCACCCTATTAGCGTAGATTTGATGCCCTCAGAATAGTCCCACATATTCTGGGGAAGTTCAGCTATAAAGCTAAACTTTGCAGATCAGGCTTCTCTGTGATTATTTCTTGCTCGAAAGGCTTGCCAATTAGAGATTTTTGTGTTTTGCACACATGACCAAGAGCATTAAAAAAAGTGCTGACATTCAAAATTTCATTCAAAGATGAATTTTCACCTGAATGCACGTGAAAACTGGTGGTTTTGTGTATTTTTTTAAAGAACATGTCTTTTCACCTGATATTATATGCTAAATTTAAAGAAAGAGAAAAAGATTTCACAAACAAAAATTCCTGAAACAAAACGGTGTGTGAAGCAGGGATTTTATACAGTTCTATACAAGTCTTGTTTATACACAGGTCTATCAATACTTTCTTGCAACTTAAAAGAACAAGCAATATTAGCAGTGTCTGGGTGTGGTTAAGTAAAGTATGCAATATCTTTTCTCTTTTTACGCTGTGTAGCTATAAACTAAGAGTCAGGGCTACCAATGTGCCTTCTTTAGACATACTGCTGGCTAGAGCTGCCTGTGTTCAGTGGTCCATGTGTTACGTCATTGAGAAGCTAGGTCAGGGACAGATGACACCTGACTTGTGTTATTTTAACTTTTCAATCAAGAATTAATACAGCGGTGTGCAGTGGATGTGTTAGGGAAGTAAGACATCAGCTAGACACAGAAATCATAGTCAGTTAAGTATGTGATTTTTAAAATCAGTATAAGTGAAAACATCACAGCCTTTCTAATGTGGATACAGTTATGGCTTGGGGAATAAGCTATACTGAAATAAGGCACTAGTGTAATGACATAGTTATACAGGTTGCACTTTTATAAATTGGAACTCTCTTGTCCAGCACAGTCTCAGCTGGGCTGCGAGGGGGAGGTAATGGGCTGGGAACTCAGGTGAGCAGCTCAGCTAGACTGTGAGGCAGAAGGGGTGGGAGCCAGCCTGCAGCTCAGCTGGGCCATGGGTTTGGGGGGCGGGTGTGCAGTGCAGGGGAGGAGGCAAGCAGCGAGGGAGCCAAATTTTGCCCTGGTCTGGCAAAATCCCTCATCCTGGTCTGGTCCTGAGGGTGCTGCCCCAGGGAAGTGCAATCTGTACTGATATAAAAATGTGTGTAAATCAGGGCTTCGGTAGCCATGCAGAGATGTGGTTGGTTTTCCAGGCATTATCAAACATCATTGTTTCTATTATGAGAAGGAATTCCTGAAGTACTGCTGTAATCAATGCAAATCTTAGCATCCACAGTTATGAATGAAGGAAACTTTAGTACTAAAATCAGCAAATGGTAAATCGGAAGCGGTGAGACAAAGCCATCTCTTCTTCCTCACTGTTCCAGAATTGCTGCCATGGAAAATTAACACCTCATTTGTCATGAGACATACTGTTCTGACAAGAACCTTTGGCTGATGTGCACAACTGTTTTCTTTTCAGGAAAGCGGGGTTGCCTTGGCGAGCAGCTGGCTAGAACAGAGCTGTTCCTGTTCTTCACCACCCTCCTTCAGAAATTCACATTCCAAGCTCCAAAGGACGTAAAGCTAAGCCTTGAATACAGAATGGGAATTACTCTCCACCCATTGCCATACCAAATCTGTGCAGTGTCTCGATTGACCCATTTCTGAAAATAATTAGTATTTGCTGTGCTTGTATATAGGGCTGTACCTACAATATCAGCCATTGGACCATTTGGGAACCTGTTATTGGATGGAACTGTAGATATTATGATATATCCTACCATGATGGTCATTCTTCCTGATGTCCCTACCAAAGCATCCTGTGTATGCAGGTAGACAACAGAGTTTTATAATGTTTTCTGTAATATGCTTAATGGGAATGTGACAATAAATGTTAAGCAACTATAACTCTGCTGGTTGCCCTTCTCTGGTTAGCAGGGAAGAACAGTCTTCTAGGCCCCTAATAAAGATGCATCAGGCAGACTGCATGTGTCTTTGTCTGATGTTAAAACTGAAAGAGCTCAGAAGGATCCTTGTGATTCAGCATGATCACACTGTTGCTTTTAGGAGTAATTAGAATACAGATTGTATTATAAAGAAAATATCATGAATGATTAAAAGTGTGTACTAACAGAAAGTTTGTATTAGAAATAGATTAATACCTTACTACGGCAAATATATCCCTTTTCCCATATGAAATAATTATGTAGTTCCTGGGGAAGGCGCATGAATGAGTTTGGAATGGGAGTGTTTGGAGAAAGATGACACCTTGAAAGCTCAGCAGTTTCAGAGTCCAGATGGTCAAAGAAGCCAGAAGACTAAGGGGTGCCAAGGCACTATAAATTGGGCCCAATATAAGGCAGACTGGTGCAGGATATATAGATGGTGTTGGAGTTAAGAGCAAGCACCCATTTTAGATAAGCAGCAGGAAGGAGGCACTAAGGTACTGATGTCAGATGACAAAGTAAAACAACTTCCAGATAAACAGATGTTAAACAACACTGATAGTGATTGATTAAGAGCTGACACAGCAAAATGTATGCACCTGACTGGGAGAAAAGTCCTGTGAAAGATGGGGTGTCTTTCATTAATCTCTGGGTCTCATCTTGTCAAGATCGGCATGTCAGGCCTGACTGAGAGAAGTCTCCACTCCTCCCACTCACATTTAATGTGCCTGGCCAGTGAGTTAATGTGAGCAACAGCCTGGTAACTTTAAGTAACAACAAGGGTGTGATGAGAGAACTTCTGAGCCTTTACAAATGTTAGTACTATTATATTTTTAAAACTTGCCCATATGGGGATTTGAATTGATAGCCTATGGCAGGCCTGGGCAAAATATAGCCCATGCACTGGATCCAGCTCACCAAGCTCCTAGATCCAGCCAGCAGACACAGCGGGGAGCCCTAGGCAGGCACCCCTGCTTGCCCTGCAGCCCCACACACTGCTTGGAAAAGCAGCTGCAGAGCCTTTTATCTTTAAAACTGTGAGCCCAAGTGGGGTGGGGGGAGGCTGCAGGTGTAACTTCCACCCCCAGTACAGTCCCATTGGCCAGCTCCTGGCCAGAAACTGGCCAATAGGAGCTGCCTGTTTAAATAAAAGGCAGCACATGAAGCACCACTCCCCATTCCCCTCCAGCTCAGTAATTCACACAAGCACATGGCCCTGAAGCCTGTGGAGGCAGGCAGGCAGGCTGGCTGAGAAATGTTTTAAGTTCTGCAAGCATTTAGCTCTGTAGGAAGGCAGGCTGGTTGGGCTGCTGGGTAGTAAGTCTTCTGGTCACTCCCTTTCCTCCCCAACCTCTGCCCCCTCACTCAACAGACCTAAACCCTCTGCCCCCCTCCTGCACCCATGTCTCCTCCCAGATCAGGCACCCCAATACCCTGCTCCAAATCACAATCCCCTTCTACCTTAGGTTACAACCCAAACCTGTACTCTAGTCCACTTCCCTAGGGTTGCCAGGTGTCCAGTTTTGAACCGAACAGTCCAGTATTTGAGCTTTCTGTTCGGGAAACAAATTGAGAAAATATTAATGGGAAAATATAAATCTCCAGTATTTTCTAAATAAGATGTAATGTAGATTATGATGTAATGTCAAGTGTGTCCAGTATTTTTGTTGAAACCATCTGGCAACCCTACACTTCCCTGGGTCACATTCCAACACCTTGCACCCTAGTCCCCGGTCATAGGTCACAACTGCCTCCTTCACCTAAACTCCCTCCCAGACCCCACTCTCCATCCTGCACCCCAATCCCTTACCCCAAGCTCCTGTCTGCATCCACATTCCATCCCAGACCCCATTAATATCATGGAAGAGTGTGGCCCTCAACCACTTTTCAAAATCTTGGTGTGACCCCTTGTCAAAAATTACTTCCCACTCCTGGCCTATGGGTTCTACCTTGCTGCCATGAGAGAGGCTGAGAAACCACATGGCTTTTAGATGCCAAGCAAGAAAGAGAAGGCAGAGTACAGGTTGAACCTTGTAGGGGACCCTGGATAGGCCTGCCTTAACTGAAATCATAATGTCTGCCTTGCCCAAAGTATGGATCTTTAACAATGCAACCCAGGCCTGTCTTAAGTCTGGTACACATAAGCACACAGGCAAGGCTGGGGGGAGCTTGGAAAGGCCGTTTGTTGTTGTTGTTGTTGTTTGCACAATCATGCAGATTCAGCATGGTACAGTGAGACCACACCAAGAACACCGGGAGGAACTGTGTACTGGTACATTCTAGTACCGATAAGCAAAAATTCAAGATACAGCCATTAAACTATGAACCAAGCACGTAGTTTTTGCAACATCCTGAGTAGCAGGCTGTACCCCAAACAAGGGCATTGGGCATTTTAGGTATCTTACACAACACATAATCAATTGGTAGATATTATTAGAACCAAGTCTCGCTTTGCTGTAAAATGGGCGTAGTAAGAAGAATCGATGGGAAGTAGTGAGCAAGATTGAACCACAGATCCTGCTCATTGGAACTAGAAGTAACTAGACCCTTCACACCGGCTATGGCAGTGCATGGCGTCCCAAAGCATGGGAGTCAAAGGGACCACTAACCTCCTGCCTGGTACTGTAGATGGCATACGGGTGAAGTGTAAGTGAACTAGGCTTAAACAGTGTATAATAATAAATCTTCTATTAATTGCTTTTGTATTGTTTTGTGTTGTACTAATTGTTTGTAAAATTCATAGTATTTAAGGTTTAAATTGTATAGTCCTTGTTTATAAGGCTTGGAAAACTTAAACAACTATATTTACTGCTTAAAGCTTGCAATAAATAAGAAAGTGGTTAAGTCTCTCTGGAGTGTCCTGCTTTCTTTGGATCTAAAATAAATCGAACCACAAAACTCTGTAGGCCGGCACCCTGGGGTCCTGTCCAGCACTGAACTAGAGAATTTGCCAGACCATGGGAGGTCAGGATTGCGTACCAGCATTACCGGCACTGCCACTGCTCACTGGGCTCTTAGAAACATTTAGGAGTGAACTAGAGCTAAATAACAGCACAGAATATTGAGAATCAGGACTGGTGGCTGTAAACAAACTTTTATGGGCCCGTGGGAAACTTGGCCACACCCATGATAAGTGGGCATCCTACAGACTAAAATCATGCTGGACCACGGATGTTGCCAGACCAGAGAGTGCTGGACTAGAGAGGTTCAACCTGTGTTAACATAGGTACTGTTCCAGTTTGTGGGTTTCTGATCGGCTTGGTTTAGTGCACATGTAGTTCAACAAAGGAGAGCTGGGCATTTCATAAGCAAATTTACAGTGGTTCATAATTTTAACCTTTCATGTTTATTTTATGGTGTTTAGGCCAAAAAAAGTATTTTGTTGGCTGGCTCTGGATCAGTTTAAGTGCACTTTATACCCCTTATTTTGCAGTGTGGATATTATTTTCACAGGTAGTTTAAAAATACTTGTTGAGCGATGTTGGGTTTTGGCCCTATCATCCTTGAAAAGTGATTATTCAAGAAATTCTAAGAGCAAAAGAAAATGTTATTTTTTTTGCAAATTAAAAAGATCCATTATAGTCACTTTCTTGCCAAAATTATTTTTAAAGTTCATAAGGAACATTTGTTTTTATTGTTATTTATATCTATGATTTGTTTATTGAGAGTTGTACTAACAACATAGAAGAGTATCAAGCCCAGGTTCAGGGCAGGCACCAACGTTCCCAGTACACTATGCACTTGGGCAGCCACTCAGGAGATATTAAATGCTACCCAGCTGATTAGCAGTGTCCACTGCCACCCACAGCTGGCAGCATGAGTTTCTACTGGTGGTGCACACATTGTTCCGTGCTCATAACAAAATTTATGCCGCACCTGTTGGGGCGGGAGGGCGCGGGGAGTAAAGGGAACATTGGCAAGCACCTGTGACAAAATGCAATGCATACATGACAGATGTGCGAGCCTTACTTGTGAGAGCCTTACGCTGAGAGCAACAGGAGTTTAACCCTACTAGAGCCCCAGTGCTGTAACCATGCACAACACCCACCGACCACAAAAGCACTTTGTACTTCTTTAGGCTCTGCTAGCTAAGAAGCTAGTTATTCAGCTGTGGAATCCACATCTCCTGGCTCCCACTTCTGTGCCTACATGAAAAGACCATTTTTGCTGTACTTGTTATAGTAAATGCTTAGTTCTAGGGATGTAAAATCCTGGTAAACCTGTGACCGGATTAACCAGTTAAGTGGGATCCCACCATTTTCACTAGTTGCCTCCCTCCTACTCCCACTCAAACACCTGCTAATACCCCAAGGAGTCAGTGAAATGGCACTCATGTTTAGGGCATTTTTCTTCCCAGTTAAGTCACATCGTGCTTTTCCAATTGATTCTGCTTAAAAACTTCCTCAGCCTGCTCCTGAACAGAGGGGAAGTTGGTGAGGAAAAAGGAGCTCAAGACCATGATGATGGATGCAACATAATGCTGACAGAGCATTGGGAGGCAGTAATGACACAAGGAGAAACGTTTGCTTTCACTGCAGGGTTTAGCCTCAAACTCAGATAGGGTGGGTGCAGCTCTGAATTCCTTTGGCAACTTCACAAGAACTGCCCAGGGGACAAGAGTAGATTAACGAGGGGCATAAAGTTAGTTTACCAGTTACCCCACCATACACTGCTGTGCCGGCAACACTGATATAGCACCT